TGCAAGCTATTTGTTTTTAGTTAGGAAGTCCAAAACAATTTCAAAAACACACAATTTCAAAAATCTGCACATTATGCATCCACACATTATACCAAAATTAAAAACCATGTTAAGAACCTTATTTCAGGACAGTGAATAAATGTTTTAGCATAGATGAAACTGAAAAGGTGTCATTTTGCAAGATTTCTAGTCAATTTCAAGTAATTTTTCTGGGTTTTTTTTGTTTTTTTTGAAAGAACAACTCTGTGTGAACGTGAAAAACCACAGCCACTCAGAGCAGATGTGAGGTTTATTAAACAGCTATGTGGAGGAGGTTCATCTCACCTCTGAGAGTTGGGAGAGGGCAGCTCTGAATATTTGCCCACACTGGATGGCTGCCGAAGTCCCAGTAGTTTGGAAGGAGGCTCCAGCGCACTCTGTGTTGGTGTCAATGTGCCGTTCTTTAGCAGGCCGCCTCCACCACACTCAGAATCAGACGCCACTGCCTTGGCTTTGGCCTTCTCCTTCTCACGGTCCGTCTGGTTGACTGGAGTGCACCCTCCTGTACTGGCCCGATGGGAGCTCTTCACACTGCCTGGTTCCTTCAGTCTAGACGGGGCGGGGACTGTTTTTAGGCCCTGCAGACCAGCGTCCATGTTGCTGCTGAAGGGACGAGCACCCGGCCGTCCTCCCGTCAGACTCAAGGTGCTGGACTTAGCAGGTCTCGGGAGACTACGATACTGGATGTTGTTGCGTGGGTTCGGAGCCATGAAACCTTGATCACAGTTCGACACATCAAGACTGGTCTTTCGTCCTCCACCTACCCCACCGGCAGAGGGTTTCACTGGGATACCAGAGGTTTTAGGAGTTTTGTTCACAATTGCAGAGTCTCCGGAGACGGTGCTTCCACTATTTGTTAGTACAGTGGCAGTGCCGGTAGTTGGAATGGATTTCTTGTAACCGAAGGAATTAACCGTGCTGGCGGAGGGACGGACAAGACCGGAAGGGGGTTTTCGGTGCTCACCACGATCTTTCCCTGCATCCGAACTGGAGCGCTGTAAGCCTGATGTTTTCACTGCCATTTTGGCTTTGTCCACGACTTGCTGATCGTTCTTTGGAACTGCAAGTATAAAAATAAACACAATCAGACATGAGTAACCTGTGGTGGACAGTAATGCAGTATTCTTACTTTGTTACTGTATTTAAGTAAATTTTTCAAGTATCTGTACTTTATTAGTATTTTTATTATGATAAACTTTTACTTCACTACATTTCAAAGCATAATATTGTACTTTATACTCCACTACATTTCTTAAAAATGTGTCGTTCCTCGTTATTTTGAACTGGAGAAATCATCACCTGCTCTGAGATGCAATAGCGGTGTCTGATTCACGAACGAGCGGATTCTTTTCAATGTACCTGTTAAATCGGTTCGCAAATCACACTGAACAATTCATTCTCAAATTGGACTGAGCGGATCGCAGCTGTTCTTGAGTCAACAACTCACTGATTCACATGATCCGGTAAGAGCGAGTCTCCAGTAAATAACTCACTGATTCACATGATTCGGCCAGAGCGAGTCTCCAGTAAACAACTCACTGATTCACATGATTCGTTCAGAGCGAGTCTCCAGTAAACAACTCACTGATTCACATGATCCGTTCAGAGCGAGTCTCCAGTAAACAACTCACTGATTTAAATGATCCGGTCAGAGTGAGTCTCCAGAAATAACTCACTGATTCACATGACCCGGTCAGAGCGAGTCTTCAGTAAATAACTCACCGATTCACATGACCCGGTCAGAGCGAGTCTTCAGTAAATAACTCTCACTGATTCAAATGATCCGGTCAGAGCGAGTCTCCAGTAAATAACTCACTGATTCACATGATCCGGTCAGAGCAAGTTTCCAGTCAACAATTCAGCGAATTCACACGTCTTACTCAAAATGAGCCGAGAACAGGAGATCCTCGGAGCTTGAGCATGACTGATGGTGCGAAAAGTTACCAATGCCGAATTTTAAGATTTATTATAAATGAAAATCGTATTTAGGTCATGACTGTCAGTTGTTTGTGAACTAAACCTGCTGTAAAAGGGTGAGCTGTTTAAGCCCACTGTATGAAATGATTGTATGCTGACATTTCCACATGTGTGTATCACCCTCTCAATGGTGTAGTTTTTAGGTAAAAATGAAACATAACATTAAAGTAACTCAAATGAATGCCTATGCATCTTCCCCCTGCTGAAGCAGTATCAAATGAGTTTCAAACTAGTATGTTTGCATAGTGTTCCTCTTAAATTATAGACATTTTTCCCTATGTGATGTCTGTTTTTACAGCATATTGTTTGCAAACACACATTTTACCTAATTTTTAAATACTGGGGTATTTTGTTTTGCTTTGTTTTTTTACCTACTTGTTTGCACACATGATGTATCAGTAACCTAAATTTTAATATATTTAAATATACTTTTAATATATTTCATATATTTTGATAGTGTATGACAAGCCCCCCTCCCTCAGGCATTTTGAGCAGTAGGATTATATAAAATATTAAATAAGTTAAAATTACAAAATAAACATTCATTGATCAGTAATTTTTACATTTAATACTCAAGTACAATAAAAACCAAATACTTTTGTACTTTTACTTGAGTAAAACTGAAAAGGAGTAATTTTACTGGAGTAATGTTTTATTAGGGCACCTGCACTTTTACTCACGTAATTGATTTGTGTACTTCGTCCACCACTGTGAGGAACGATAATCAAGAAGAATTATTACAAACATCAGCAATTGGGTCTTAAATGTTGTTTGTCACATTCCTAAACATACAGAAACATTGTCACATTACTAAACAAGCACAGTTTCAAATGTGATCCCATTAAAAACACATAAAATCACACTGCATATTAGAGGTGCAAGAAGAAAACAAATATTTGTTACATTAAATCAGTGATACAGACATGAATGATACCTCAAATCATGTGTCTAACTAAGGAGAGATGTGATATTACTTTTCTAAGTGATCTGATTTACAGTAATCAGCCTTAAGTTCAAAACCACATCTCAGAAAACCTTAGCAACCACTGATCAGCCACCAAAAACATATCAATCTCTCAGAACACCCCAGCCTTGTGTTGATGAGTTTTGCACCATGCGCTCACATTTTCTTCAGATAATTAATCTAGTTCAGTAAATTTATTTTTTTGTCTGAGGGGATTGTGCAGGGTTTCTTAGGAAAGACAGACAGTTGGGTGTGGTGCAACCTCTAACCACACCCAACTTTAAAGTAAGCTTTTACACTTCATTTAACACCACAATATATACAGTATGCAACACACACACACACACACACACACACACACACACACACACACTAATAGATGCACAAGTCCTCTTCATTAGAATAATGCAGTATATGGACACAATCCATCATGAGGTAAAGGACTTTCCTGCTTATGCTGCTGACTTCAATTCACTCAGCTGTAACATAACAGCCTTGAATATTCAAGAAGTTAACTTAAAGGGTTAGCTCACCCCAAAATGAAAATTCTGTCATTAATTACTCACCCTCATGTCGTTCTAAACCCGTAAGACCTCAGTTCATCTTCGGAACACAATTTAAGGTATTTTTGATGAATTTTGAGAGCTCTCTGCACCAGGGTGACGCGGAGGAGACGAATTGTTGAATAAAGTCGTTATTTTTGTTTTCTTTGCTTACAAAAAGTATTCTCGTAGCTTCGTAAAATTATGGTTGGATCCCTGATGTCACATGGATTATTTTACCGACCTCCTTGCTACGTTTCTGGACCTTGATCATGGTAATTACATTGCTGTCTATGTGAGGGTCAGAGAGCTCTCAGAATTCATCAAAAATATCTTAATTTGTGTTCCGAAGATGAACGGAGGTCTTACGGGTTTAGAACGACATGAGGGCGTGTAATTAATGACAGCATTTTAATTTTGGGGTGAGCTAACCCTTTAAACCGAGTAAAGGAAGTGGGTATGGCACAACTGTTACAGTACTGTCAACATGAAATGGGTGAACTTGCAAAGCCCGCCCTGATGGCCATCTGGATCTTCTCAAGGATATTTATAAATATGCGGCAAAAAACGAGGCTAGTGCAATCATGACTCGATCTCCGGGCGAATTGGAAAACACACATACAGAAGAGATTGTTGGCAAACTTGAAAATTGGCTTTACTATAACAACATCATCCATGGTATGCGAAAACACATTGCTGGAGTAACTTAAGCATTTAAATGGCTCAATTAGCATAACAAATAAAAATAGAGCAATAGTGAAATACGGCGTGTATTTCGTCTGTCATGAGGCGCTGTAATTCACACTGCTGCACACCCAGGATGATGGCCAACACAAGTAAATACAGCTGACATCAACTTGAGATGGAGGTTAGATGTGAAAAGAATTATGTTGAGTTGGAATAATTTAGGCCATTAGCAGACGATGACTGCATTAAATGCTAGCATGATCGTATCAAAGGATACAAGGGGGGAAAGACACATTTCTTACATGTTTGTTTAGACTGGAGGGAAACAGTAAAAGTGAGTCATAAACAGAAAGAGAGAAAGAGTAAACGGAAACAGGAAAAACTGGACAGGGAGGAAAAGTGGCTAACCGAAAGAGTAGCTATCAAACTGACAGAGATACAGCTGAGAGAAGAGGAGTGGAGATAGATGTCATTTGTCTGCCTGATACTACATCACTATAACGGCAGGCTTGTACAACAAAATATATACTTTGCATTAAACATGGTATTATTATTCAAGACTGTGTCTTAGAATAACGTGTCAGTGCAGCATGCAGCTGTTATTAGCCGTGTTTGCTAATGCAAATGCCACTATAACTATTGCTCATACTTAAGGTTTGGGATATATAAAAAAAAAACATGCAACCTCTCAGTTCACCTTTTCATGCTTAATCATGCTTAATCAACCACATTCTACAACCTTGAAAAATGCAGGTCATGTAGTGACAACCGCTCTCACAGAAATTCTTCGTAGTGTGTACAGAGCTGAACAACTAGTTATTAATGACGTATTTAAGCATGTATCAGAACTGTATTCTGTATGTGCTGTGCAAAAAATCACAAGGAACAAGTTGTTTTGACTCATTAGTGTTGCCAGATCTTGCTAGAAAAAAACAACAACAAATAAGAACAAGGCCATAATAAACCAAACTCTTTATCTTAGAAATAAACCAAAATATCCTGACCTGCACCTGCATACTTTAATAACTCCATAAACTGGATCGCTTTATGAGTCGAGCCCAAACAACAACCCAAAACCGCTTAATAATCATTGCTTATAATAAGTGGACATGGCAACACGAGCGCTCTCTGTGAAGCAGCCTTTTAAACTAGCAAAACACAATGGCTTTGTCTACAATGGTTTAGTTAAAATCACCAAACATAATGAGTCTTTGGTCGCTGTAATATTACTTTGATCAAAAATTGCAGTCAGACAGCGAAATGTTGCTATGGTTACCATGATATCAGTCATAGCAATTTAGGGGATTCACTCCTGTATTTAAATGTGGTTGTCATTCCTGAAACGTTACAGTATGTACGTGGCCTAAAGCCTCAAGTATACTTCTGTTTCAATGTGAACACTTATTGCAGAGCCGAACACATAGCCTTTTAAACGTATACTTCGTTTGATAGGTTGTGCGAATACAGGTGCTCTACACATACACACTAGAAAGTTTCTTCCCTTACACGAGCACTCGTCAACAAGGTAGTAAATTGTTGTTGTCCTGTTACTCAACTGTGACACAAAAGTAATGTCCAAAATTGCATATTAACAATCTGAATAAGGACTTACTATATAGTAGGGAAGTAGTTATTATTCACCTGCTTTATTTGAGAAAATTTGTTCAGATTCGTTCACGGATTCATTCAGTTACTCTTTTCACAGGTTACATCAGCAGATTAGTAGGTGACAATGATTATTTTTTTGTGTGTTATGAGTGAGTCACTCAAATGATTCAGTGTGGTATGTGTGAGTCATATATGATTTAAAAAAAAATAAATGATTCTTTAGTCATTAAATGATTCTTTAAAAAAACACAACAAAAACAGTTCAGTAAAGCCCTTTTGTCT